TACTATATTATATATATGATATTCTAGAATAGAAATAATTACAGTATTTATAATATATGCAACTTGTTTATTTGTAATATTTTTAGTTTTTAATACATTATTAAGTCCAAGTGCTTCTTATTGTATTAATTTTGTTTGAGTTGTATATTGTAATGCAACTGTAAACCAGCATCCTAAAAATTTAAAAAGGGTATTTTGTAGTTGTGCTTGAATAGTTTGATTCATAAAGTTAATATGAGTAGTAGATTTAGTATTTGAAGTTAAGAAGAATTTGTGTGGATTAACCTTTATATAGGCCATTGTGTAGAAAGATGCAACTGCTTAAGTTATTGCTTGAAGCTCTTCTATTGAGTTTGCAAGCCATAGTGTATCATTCATATATGCCAGTACAGATGTAAAGACAGTAGTAGATTGATATTTACTAGGATTAATCTAAGTAAGCTATTTAGTTGTTGTAATGTAGCCAGTATATTTCTTATATATGTAACTTATTAAAGGGTTGTAATAGATTTGCCAAAGAAGAGAGGTTATAGTTTCACCTTGGTCTATATCATCTTGTACCTCATATGAGGGTATGAGTCCAAGATTAGTAATAATTTGGTTAGTTCAGTTATGTAAAAGATTAGTTATTATGTTGACTAATGTGTTAGGCATATTGAGATATTATAGAGCTTTGGTTAGGAGGTGTATGTTTACAGAGTTATATGCTTTGCTCATATCTTAAGACAAAATCCAAATATGTTTTTTGATACATTTGGCATTTTCAAGGAAGTTATTGAGTATATAGATTGGATTGTTAGTTGAGTTGTCAAAGAGTATAACATAGTTATATGAATTAAGAATTTGGTGTTGAGTTAAAACTTGTGATAGACAGTTAGTAAGGATTTTAGTATAAAGTTTCTTTATATGTTCAATTAGACTAATAGGTCAAGTATTGTTGAGGTTTCTATCAAATTCAGGTTTTTTTGAGATGAGATATATTCTACTAGATTTCCATTGTTTGGGGATATTTTGTATAGTTAAACATCTGTTAAAGAATGCTATAAGTGCAGATTGCATATTAGGGCTAAGGTGTTTAATCATTTCATAACTAATTCCAGTAGGCCTATAGGCTTTGTTGTTAGGTAGTTGTTGTATAGTGTTAATGATTTCTTCTGTAGTAATTTCTTAAAGTATGGAAGTATACTATTCAGTATTAATACTAGTATTAGATTAATATGTCATCTTCTAATTTTGATTAAAGAAATTTTCATCAAATGGATAATAGGCTGTCCAAGTTTTAAAATGTTCACTAACATGTTGTTTAATCTCTGTAGAGTCAGTAATTATACTATTAGTAGATTTGATATTTTGAAAATATACTGTATCTGTATGTCAGTTTAATATGCTGTTGATTATTTTGGTTAGTTGAATAGATAATTGTTCATATTATTTATTTGTAGCTATATTAATATAGTTACGAAGATGTTTAGAGTTTTCGATATTTTTGGCATTGTAAAGTGTTTTTCAGAAGGTTTTCATATGCTGTATTCAAGTAGCTAGGTTGGATTGATGATTAGGTGGTGGTTCAATAGTAAAGTTATGAGTACTATTAATATAATCGATAAGGTTTTGAATATTAGTAGGTAATAGTATTTGGTATGAGAAGAGTTTTTTAATATAATGTATAATATGTCCAATAGTTTTAAGATCATGATGTAATTGAGTTGCTTTTGGTGTAAATATATGATAAAAGTTTTTAACAATATATTTTTTGTTTGGAATATGTTGTAATACAGCATTGATAATACTAGTATGTATTTTATGCCAGGTTTTTTTAAGGCTTTCTGTTGTATTTATTGTGATTGAAATCTGGTGTTATATTATATTCAAGTTTATTTAATTTGTAAAATCATTCTAGTCATCTTTGGATATAGCTTTGTAGTTAAATATTTATCATTTACTTTTGCTTTTGTGTCTGGTTTTGGTTGCTGCAAATGGAAATATCTATGTAGAGATTAGGATTTGGTAATTACTATTGGTTAAGGATGATGAATTATTAAGTTTGAATTCATTTAAGTTTGAATTCATTTAAGTATGATATAAGAACATCATGGGCCTATATATAATCTATTCTAGTTTGATATCGAATACTATGCTAAGTGTTTTGTAAATTATTTGTATAGTCTGCTAAGTCATACATATTTATACTATGCAAGTAATTGAGTAATTGGAATTTAGTTCCTAATAATATAGTGATATTGTTGTCTGCATTAAAATCTCCAAATATGATAAGATATAGGTTGGATGATATTGCTTGTTATGTCTATATAGTAATGATGTCTTGTATAAGTTTGCAGTTGGTAATATTAGTAAATGAGAGGTATACTAAAATAATTCTAAATTTATAGTCATGTTTGAAAAATAGGTCTATAGCAATGACACTACCAGGTTGTGTAATTATATTATATATATGAGACTGAATGTTATTTTTAATCATTATACATATTCCTTCTTTAGATTCTGTAGAATTGAATCAGAAATATGAATAATGAGATGTGTTTTAGAACTTGGTTTTTGTATTTTAGAGATTTAGTTTCAGTAAAACTAATTATATATAAGTTATGAGTTAAACAGTAATTTTTCTATAGCAGTCTTTTTTCTTGTGTATTGTATCCTTGAACATTGTGTGTTGCAATATTGAGTTTAAGTAAGATGTTCTTATTAGGAAGATTGAAGGAGAATTTTAGAGGTAGTTGATAATATTTATGATATTGATGATATGAAAGCATAATATGATTAGGAAGTAGGTTATTATTGTAGTTAGTATAAATATGAGTTTCTGTATAAGATAAATTAATAGATATTTTAAATGATTTGGTAAAGTGTGATGTTGTAAATATTGAATGAAAGAGTGTAATGTTTGAAAGTAATAAATGAGTAGTATATTGTTATTATGTAAGAATAAATTATAACATGCATTAGGGTCAAAGGATTTTAAAGATGTTGTAGTTGACCCTGGTATATTGTCTTCTACAAGAGTGCTCATCGTTTGAAGCTCAGCTCTTACAGCTGTAAAGAATTTTATAATCTGCTTTGTGTATTGAGTGTTAAGTTTTGTTAATTATATATATATTATATATTATTATATATAAATACATTATAATTTAAAAAATTTTTTAATTATATTAATACTTTATTAAGATTCTTAAAATGCTTTTATAATTATATAAAATTATTTATTAACTAAGATTACTATTACTTAGTTACTTTAATAATAACTAAGTATAACTTGTCATATTATTTTAAATAAAAATAAGCTACTTATTTAACTACTTAAAGTTTATAATAATAAGTTTTTTCTTTTATAACAAGTTTTAATATTGCTTTTTAACTTCTTTAATCTGGTTTTTTTTGTTTACTTTGTTCTTTATTTTGTTTTTTATAAAAAAGATAAAAAAAAGAATTAGAACTACTTAACAATATGTAAATATATAAATACAATTAAAAAAATATAAAAAATAATTTAATAAATCTAATATAGTCAAATTTATTAAAAGAAACCTAATGAAAAATAGAAAAAATCTAACTTAAAAAATATTTTAAGATTATAAACAAAAGAAAAACTTAAAACAAAATATAAAATAATCAAAAATTTAATGCAAAAAAAAATAGTAAATTTAATATAAAAGATGATTTAATTAAATAAAAACTAAAGAATTTATAACAACAATAATTAATACAGTATAGAACAACCTTTATGAAAATATATAACAAAGAAATTATAAAACCTTTGTTTTATAAAAAAACAGAAATTGATACAAAAACTAAAACTAAAAAAAAATATAAAAAAAATATTATAAAAAAAAACACAAATTAGTTATAGAAAAAGTTTTAATAAAATAAAAAAAAACTAAGATAAAAAAAAGAAGAAAAAGAAGTAAAAAAAAACTCAAAAAACATGACTTAACTTAGTAACAATTTTATATACAATAAATTAAGACTGTTTTTATATGACCTTCTTGACTAGTCTAATACAACTTATATATTAGAATAAAATTTATAATCAGTATAACAGACTGCCTTTAAGCATTTATAAAAACAACCAGAAGATATCATACCAGAAACTTTAATCAAAATGTATATAAATTTTGTACAAGAATCTTAATAAAATTTATAACAAAGTTGTCAAAATGGAAAAAAATTCTGTTTATATAATAACCTTAGCAAAATATTAGTTTAAAAAAAAAATAAAACCAAAATTTTCTGATCTTAATCCTATTGAATGAAATTAATTATTATTTTAAAAAATTTTTTAACCAAATTTCAAATGCAATAAATTTTTAAAAAAGACTTAGATAGTCTAAAAGAAAATTGATATCAAAACTTATATAAACCTAGTTCGTGAATACCAAGATGAATCCACAATATAATTAAACCTTTAAAGTGATTATATTAGATAATGAAAATAAAATTTTATTAGATAGAAAAAAATTTTTTAATGTAAAAACTTTTTTTTTTGTTTCATGATTATGTTGCTATAAAACAAGCAAAAATAATGTAACACGTAAATTGAAATAAAGCTCGTTCCTGTGAAAAATTTGTCATTAATTTTTTAAAAATTTTCATTAAATACGATTTCGAATAAAAAAAAACCCCAACAGAAACGATCCAAGCATTAGATCTGACTGTATAATGTGTTTATATAAAAGGCGACTATATAAAAAAAACATTTAAATGAATGTAATTGGCGGACTGTGTATAGTTCGTAGGTTTATTACACATGTGAAATCGTTTGATGGCTCGATTTAAGTAAAAAAAAAGACAAAAAAAATCGAAACAATACGAAATAAATGCTTATTCATATGAACTTAAATAAAACATAATGTAATAAAAGGAATTTCTTACAAATGCAGAAAGAACTTAAAAAATCCTTATGATCTCAGAGTATGAATTGCATAAATATATGTTGAAATCTGTATAGTATATGAAAAAAGATATCTATAAAATTCGTAAAAACATTATTGTTCTTGTGAGGTATTTCGCCCCTTTTTATCAGAACGAGTAGCAATTTTTATACCTTGACTACTGAAAGCTCGAGATAAAGGGGTCGTCTCTGATTAAAAATTTTAATATTAAAGAATAATCATATCATGATCATATTTAATAAAGCATATTATAATTATTAAGCAAATGCCCTTAACCTCAATTTTTTTTAAGACTGCTACTATTAGTTTAGCATTTTTTTAAATTGAATCTACAAGCTTATTTTTAAGAAATAAGTTTTGTAGCTATAATATAATTTGAAGCTAAACTGAGTAGTAGTTTATTTTTTAAAAAAAGAGAGAATTAAAGTGTACAATATCGATGACAGTATTTAAGAAAATGATTATACCTATCATACCGGGAAATTTCTTTGCTGAATAGGCAACAAAGGGATCTGATTCCACGGACGCTAGAACACTCATGGGATGAACACCTATATTAACCATACCTTGGCTTTTATAAGAATGTTTGTGATCAGATTTGATTTACGTAATAAAATCAAAATTGTTGAATTAGTTTTTTTTTTGATTTGTGCGCGTATTTATTCATAAACCAAATCCGAATATTAGGATACATTATGCATGTCACGGAAAAACTTCGGAAAAAATGAAAATTTCCGTAAACATTATTAAATGAGCATGGTTCATACACAACCAACAAATAAATATTATACATATAAAATCAACGTAAAATTTTCTTACAATCCAAGATACATAAGGTTAAATTCAAAATAAAAATCTCCATCGGTTCGAATACTGAGATCTTGATATACAAAAAAGATTCCAGATTTTCCTTCATGGTCCTTCAACTTTCTTCCGCTAGCTATTAAATTTCCAAGTAAGTTCCGAGTATTTGTTTGGTTCTTAAAACCAAGCTGTGATGTTGGATGAATAACCAAAGAGGCTTCTTCTCGTGTTCCACATTTATAAGGAGTCGCGTGTAGAACAAAAAAATTATACTCTATGTTTCTAGTAAATTAAAATGCAGTAAAAATAATTAAAAATGATATAGTTTATCAAGTGTCTGTGTATATTCAAAAGTGACATACTCTATATCTACTGGCTTTCCATTTTCATCACTAACAAATAATTGGACTATTGGTAGAGGTGACAATGAACGTCTGTCCTGAAAAATATGGAAAATAAAAAAAAAAAAATTTCGCAAAATTTAATTTTGAACCATTTAAATGCACTTAGAAATTTATACTACGCTCTTTAAATCTTAAAAGCCTATTATTCTGTTAACTTCAAACTAAATTCAAAATATTAATTTCCAAATAAAAAATGAATTTGTGGATTACATTTAAATATTAAGATAAACTAACAGAATAGCAGTCTTTTAAAAAAATATTCGAATAATTAATGAATTAAAGACAATGACACCTTTTTACCTTTTCACCAAAGCCACACATACGGGCTCGTTCCGACTTTTGAACTATACATAGACTATATTTCCAGTTCGGAATTCTGCATAAACATTAACATATAAATTGTATATAATATATTTAATTTTAGTATATATATATATATAGAATATAAGGTGAATAAAAAAGTAAAGAAAGACCCTGTATTCACCCCGTTTGTGTTGACGCCAATGTTGCCTGTATCATTTCCCGTGTTGCATATTGAATGTCTTGACGAACATAGTCCTGAGCCCTTGGTCTTTTGAAAGACTGAGTGGATGGACCATGTTCGAAATTCTCATTATTTTGATCCATTTGATTTTGATATGAGTGATTAGGGTAGTTTATAGTGAGTGGATAGTTTTCCATAAAACGATGTTGAGTCGAAAAATGATTGTACGAAAAAAGTACCGATTGTACTTTGGAAAACTGATAAAATTAAGTTTTTTACGAAAGGAAATGAGAAACCAACGGTTTAATTAACGCTACCACACCAGATATGCCTTACCAATTACTAAGAGGATCAAATAGAACAATTGAAGGGTCTAAACATTAGCTTTTAGTTTTTATATACAAAAAAAAAAAAAAAAAAAAGGTAAGCTTATTCATTATTTTTTTATATTTCGATAATATAATATATATATAACTTGAAGTTATCATTTATTATAATTTACTTTTGACAAATATAAATAATAATTCATTTATTTTAGGTTCAATTCATAAGTTTGTATCTGAATTGTGAAATGTTATAATAAAAATGCATCAATGAAAAATAATCCATTATGGACAGAAGAAGCAAATGATAAGACACGCGCCTTCTTGCATGCAAAATAATCCAATATTTTGTGACATTATTGTTCTGCTTTTACAACAGTTACGATAAAAGTCTTTTAACCAATAGTTCGGAAATTGGAAAGGTTCTGTGGAAATTGGAATTACTTTCTATATTTTGGAAACCTATCATCTATTCAAAGATATATAATAACTTTAATTCTATAAAATAAAAATTTTTTGCCTAATCATATTGGCTATTAAATTCTTTAAGGGTACACGGATGCCAAACAAATATAATCAGTGTAGTACTTTTATTTTATTATATGACAAAATATGATAAAATATGATAAAATATGATAAAATATGATAAAATATGATTAAAAGATATCAAATCTTATCCCTCTACCCGTAGATTTTCACATGCTCCATGGATTCTAATTGCATTACAAACGAAATGATAATTTATAGTTGCATTCTTTGTAATACGGAAACTAGGTTTAGAATCTATACTGTCAATAAATATGTTACATAATTTAAATTATTATCCGAATCGAAGCACTGTTCGGACGGTCCGTTTTTTTTTTTATAAAAGATAAGACGCCGTACTTGCGTACAGTACATACGTTCATACATATATATGTACATAGCAGTATAATATAATACCATAAACTGCTGACTATTGTATCCGGATTTTTTCAATAAATGGTGATGTATCCTGGGTACTTTTTTTATTTTACTGTACCAATTTTTAAAGTTACATCTATAATCGGATCGAGTTGGTGTTTGGTCTTACAAATTGGCGGATTTGTAAATAAACAACGTAAAATTACTTAACATGTACTTATTTTTTAATTTTGCCTACTTAAAATTGCCAATTACTCAACTAACCCGGGTCATTTACTAATAAGACATAATCGAGTCTCTGATTAGTTGATTCAAACAAGCCAAGGTATGGAAGTACCGCTTTTTTTTGAAGCACATCAAACTGTCCCGTATATAAATTATAAAGATCTACAAGTCAGTATATTTACAGGCAAGGCATAATAAATATATTTAACCTAAATATGATAGTAAACCGGGAACAGAAGTATGCAGAAACTATTTGGGTTCAGGCAAACGATAAGCCTGATAGAAAATATGTTTCCATAAATTAATTTCCTGTGTTCAAAATATACAAAAAAAACATTAAATATGATAGTAATTGATACTGAAGGTAGTCTAACCAAAGATCGTAGTAAACAAATATCATTTATTTGCAGAATAACAAATTAATAAATTTTTATGATGAAAAGGTTTAATGCCTATCACGTGACCATAGTACTTGGAATAGCAATAGCAATTACGTAAGCTCAAATAAAATTCGCACTTGGAAAACCTTCGGGCATGTAAATACTAAATCGACATTAATCCTAATGTTAATTAAATGCACAATCCCGGGAAGTTCCTGACACATCAAGTTATCAGTTTTCTACTTTACTATTATTATGAATATAAATGCTAACCATACTGTACATAAACGATATGCATATTCCAACGCATTCCGCAAAACCACAGACATTCTAAAGTGTAAAACAATGATTTTTTTTTAAATTATGCAGTTATGTATGCACTTACTTTAACATACAATATATTGACCAATAGGATCCTGCATACATCCAGTAATGAAGCTAGTCTATGCATAATAAACAAACCTTGAAGGTGATAGCAAGTATTTTTAACAACTAGGTATATAACTATTACCCTTGCATAGTTTAATGTGGCGTCTTCTTGAATATTTGATTATGCACTCCTAAATTAATCTAGATCACAACCATCAATTTGTAATTGTATACATAGAATAAATAATATAGAATAATCACAATTTTTTTAGTTTGGGAACGCATAATCTAAAGTTTTATTTTATGTTTGCAATGCATAAAAATAAATATTCAGGAAAAAACTCTCCCGATGCAAATCCAGGCTACCATAGACTCACTAAACAAGACAATACAGCTATTAAAAATTTGAAAAAAAATCTCTACTAAAGATATTGAACTCAATGAAAACGTAATGCTTTTACGCGGCAAACATCGATTACTACAATAAAATTATGTGACCTGACTAAAAGCGCAATCATGACAGAATCAGGATATTCATTCCTTAATAGACATTGTTTAGTTACGCTTATTTGTTACAGAGTCTTTAATCGATCAATAATCATGCGGTTAGCTGATGAAGTATAAAAGGTGCATGCATCTTATTTAAAACCACAAGTTTATTCAAGTACCAATCATCGAGAATCTTCTAGTCGCGTCTTAGTAACATGTACATAGGCGGTATTCGGGATCCATAAAAATATTTATTTAGTCAAAGTTACTAACCCACAATGGTGTTTATTAAATATTTTAGTTTACCATATAAACGGATAATTTCATAAAAGTCGCGGCAGACGCATTTCGTTATCAGAATGAACAATTGTAGTAGCATTTAGACGTGTGACGAATGTTTGATCAAACAAAGAATTATAAACTAAATAGTTTTTTTGTGGTAGATCAAAGACGCCCGCCCATGACCCACGCATATTACTCTAAAAAAATTTTTTTGCCATTTCTTTTTCGGAAAATGTTTTGTTCCGTACCTTTTATATTAAAGTGCTTTATCAAAACATATCTTGGATCAAAAATGCATACATCATGTACCTCAACGCGAAATTGACCTTTTTTTTTCTATTATTTATCAAAGAAAATCCGATATCATATTGTTGTGATTCTTGTTGTCTTTCTTATTTAACCTTTTAATTATACCAGCAAGTTTTAAGGTTTTATAGCCCATTGCGATCAAATTTTTTTTTAGCAACGTAAATTTTGATTTTCTAAATGACTAACCCCTAAAAGAAAGTGGTGCAAGTGACTTAGAAAGTAGTGCAAATAGCTTTATAAAGTAATTTCTCTATATCTGGAAACAATAAGTAATAATTACGAGGTAAAAACATGCATATCGATGTGGTACACACCAAATCGATCCTTTTTTCGGGCCTAAATCAAAAATTTATATTTGACGGAATTATCGAATAGAAAAATTCGCGCGTTTGATGAAGAATATCTAGGCTTAAAGTTCGTTGTCACTAGTACTTACAGATACTCTTACTACACAGTTAATTTTTTAAACATTTAATTCTGATATAATGTGGTCGGATGCAATATCTTGATGTTGAATATTTAATCTTGTTAATGTTTCCAACATGGTATATAGTTAGTAATGATTGTTATATTTGTTATTCATGTCAAAGTTTCTCAACGTATTCGTTTATTTTTGTAGCTACTACATAATAAACTCTATTTTACTTACTATTTTAATTACCATTTATAGGATTAATTAAATATTTAAATATTTAATTTTTACTAATCTTAAAAACGATTTAGCTGGGGTATTACTAATTAGAACAAATGACCAACCCAGGAGCACTATAATTTTACTAGGTGTATATGCTAGCACAAGATGTATATTTAGTAATGTTAAAGAACGCACACAATTTTTATTTTGTGCATTTATTGTACTAAACGGAGGCCATATGAAATAACTCCGAGCCAACCAGAGACTTTTGATATTCAAACTCGACCCCAATACTGAAGATAATAGCCTGTTATATGCCAAAATCAAAAAGTGGCTTTTTTCTGCATTATTGTTGATTATCTAATTTATTCTTGGCTTTTTGTTAATTTTAATATTTTCTATCTTCTTACTACCCAGGTATACACTTTCAACTAATGACTACAATCCTTATCGTTACGTGTTATGTAGTGTGCACGTGATATTACCAAAATAATACCATATACCCTGAGTCTGCAGCTAATTTATTACATAATCTGCGGGATTAAACCCGTTGAACTAAGTAAGATGCAAAATTTTATGTAATATCCCAAAGACGTTTACGGGGATATATTGACAAAACAACTTTCTAATATCTCGCACATAAATTATATTCTCATGCACCACATGACAGCTACTACGTACCGCCAAATTTTTCAGTATGTGGCTTCTGTACTACCTAACCTATTTGTTTTAAAATTTTTCTATCGCTATCGTTATCACTACGTGTGGATTTGTATTAATAAAATAGAATTAAATTTTAAAAGCTTTTATTAAATTATTTTTATAAAAAAACTGCTTAACTCAACCTACACACAATATACATATACATATGTTTAGTATTATACTTTACAAGTTATTATAGTTAACTAAGTTTTTAATTTTGTCGTATTTATAAAAAAATAAAGTTTACAATTGTAAATATATACAAATATTAATAAAAACTTTAATTTTTTATAAAAGATAATTGGTATTTATAATATTGTTATTTGCAAATAGCAATATAAAATTTAAAGTTCATTAATGTTAGGGTTAGTGTTTATAATAAAGTTAAAGACTGGGTAGTTAGTTATATAGTATGATTGCTCAAGGAAAACTTTCGTTTATGCAGTTTTTTGAGAAATAGGCAATCTTTGACAAAACAAACGGTTGAACTTTCATGATCGTGTTACATTACACCTGATCCTTGTGTA